AAATGGACGTTATTAGGCGTTATCAGTCCCATACAATGGCTTCAGAGGGTCCCTACTGTGCCTTCTAGACTTCAGACTGTCCCAACAGTGCCCCCTAGTGGGTTAATATATCAATGACAATGAATGTGTAAATAACCAAAATATATTGTAATAAATGTTTTGTGTCCATGTGTGTCTGGCACCCTGGTGTCCCACTCTCTGGTCCAACACTCTACCCATTGTCCTATTGGAAGACCACAACATACAACCATTGGAGGGCGGGGTCTTTAGCGCTAATCATGTCACTTGCTCTAAAGTTAACCTTAGTGCCTTTTAGCCTCATATTAACCAGCTGACATTCTGAAGCCATTCTATGGGACTGATAACGCCTAATAACGTCCATTTCATGGATGATGACATCYGAAGCRGGTGAGAATTTGCTCCTGATGAACAGAAAAACAGGAAATGACATCATCTGCATGAGTTTCTGCAGATTCCTGAACATATAACTAGAAATAAACTCAAATATTGATTTAATTCCTGTTCATGTCCTCACTCTGTCAGGATCTAACTTTAGCTTTCACCTTTCAGCCTAACTTCAGAGATCTTTGCTTTAATTTAATTAGTTTTCATGTCTGAAACATCCTGAAACTGAAACATATTCAGAATATTAAAATAAAATTAATTCATATAGAACATCTGTTTAATGTGTTTTACTTTTAGTTTTGTGTGAACTGAAGAAATTAATTAAAAATATTCTCAGCTGTTTGGTGGAAAGTTATCAGCTTTCAGCTTGTTTTATTTGATAAATAGAACAGTTAAAGATTATAAACTACCGAGGATAATACTCAGAGTTTTCTGCGTAGTTTTCCAGTACCTGTTTTGTTTCCATGGCAACAGTATGAATCTTCTGCTCCCAAATGTCTCAGGAAAGATGAGGAAACAGGTCCAGCTCAGCTGCATCAGTACCAGCTTCTGTTGATTCACTTCCTGCAGGACGTCCAGCAGGTCCACAAGAGACAGGAGGAGGACGAGAAGAAGACAGGAGGAGGATGAGAAGAAGACAGGAGGAGGACGAGAAGAAGACAGGAGGAGGACAAGAAGAAGACAGGAGGAGGANGATGAGATGAGATAAGATGAGATGAGATGAGCTAAGCTACGATAAGCTAGGCTAGGATAAGCTAAGCTAAGATCAGATAAAAGATAAGATTAAATTAGATAAAAGATAAGATAAGATAGGATAAGATAAGATAAAAGGTAAGATAAGATCAGATAAATGATAAGACTTTATTGTCCATACAAAAATGGACATTTTGTTTACACAATCTGTTTGATGCCGCACATTAAAAACAACACACATCACAACATCAAAAACAATTATAATGATTAAAATTAAAAAACGTTTGTTTTTAACGGGTCCTTTGCTGAAGCAGTGTAATGTGATTCTCGGTGTGCCTGCTGGCGGCTGGGTGGCGTGTTGTGAGGGAATCTGCATCAAAGCCTGACTGTGGAGCTGCTCAGACCCTCATTAGGCAGATGCTGCTGCCACAGGGCCTGTGGGATCTGGACTAAAGTCTTCCTGCAGCCCCCCCTCCACAGGAACAGATGTCAGGGGGGGGGGGGCTCCTCCCTCTGGAGACTTTCTGCTTTCAGGTGAGCTTGTTTCATATTTCTGTGCAGCGACGCTGACTTCCTGCAGCCACAGAAACATCTGTTAACCCTGCTGACGATCCAGGGCTCGTTGTGTTGCTTTCTGTCTCTTTTGTGGAGAAATAATAAAAAGGTGACCACATGATGGGAYATTTTAATGGTTCTTATTGTTTATTTTATTATCAAACATGACTTTTAATTAATATTGATTGATGCCGTTAATTTGGTTAACTATGAATGTGTTAACTGTAAAGTATTTGTGACATATTTGTTTTTTCAATCTGATACAGGATGTACAGCACCTTGTGAAATCATCTTCTGTGAAAGGTGCTATAAAAATAAACTTTTACTTTACTTACTTTATTATTGTTCAGAACGTTGCTCAGAGACTAAATTGATTTAATAGTTGGAGGCAGAGATGCTTGAATAAATGGTTTCTAACACATTGTCCTGTTCTCCTCCTCCTCCTCCTCCTCCTCCTCCTGTCACATCTGTAATCTATATTAATCCCTCCTTCATTCATGTCTGATTTCATCTTTAGTTTGATTTTTGACAATGAAAACTTCAACCATTCAAGCTTCAGATGTGAGAATTTCAGGGGATTCTGATGTTATCAGTCCATGAAATGGACGTTATTAGGTGTTATCAGTCCCATACAATGGCTTCAGA